CAGCCTCTGTGTCCTTCAGAGGTGGCACGTCACCAGACTGCCCTGGGAGTCGGACCGTGGCTTGGTCCCTGTCACATGTGGGTGTGTTCGGAGCAGCTTGTAGACCACAACAGACACAGGGGTCCCTTGTAACCCTGCCAACAAATAACAAAGGTGTCCTTCCGTGTTTTCAACCCTCCGTGTGTGGTTTTGAAAATGTCCACACGATTCGCCGTTCAACAGATGCTTAAGGGCAGACTGCACGAAGCAGAACAGGACCAGGGCGTAACTTGTAGGGTCCAGCCCCAAACGGAAAGCTGGGGCGGCCGCGCGAAGGGGCATGGGAGAAGGGAGAGAGGCAGGCTGCCGTCCCCCAAAAAGGATGAAGAATTCCAAGATGGGGGCAGCTGAGCATTAAATCTAGGACAGTCCCTTCCAACAGGTGGAGCTTTGACCCCAGACTCAGACCCCACACCACGTACCCTTCTTAGTGGCAGGAGACAGGACACAAGGCTCCAAGTGGGGCCTGCAGTCCTTGTGCCGTCACAGCTAAGGGACATGATGTGGACCAAGGGGACTGAGCCAACAATTGGGGCCCAGGTTCCAGTGGGCCACCTCCACCCTCGAGCCAGAGCCGGAGACTGTACCTGTGTGTTTATGCCCCAGGAGGGGCGGGTACAGAGGCAGAGAGAGGCAGCAAGTGGCGGCTGGGCCTCCATGCCAGGTAGAGCCCATTGGAGTTTGAATGGGGGGCAGGGAAGAGAACCCCAGTCACGCTGGCCCTTGGTCATCTCCAGACTGCTGCTGAGGGCAGAATGCTGGCCAGGGCTCTGGGTGGTACATGCCCTTGGGGCTTAGAAAAAAAAATCATAAAAGCCAAGTCTTATCACCAGATAAACCTGGGCAGGGCCCTGCTGGGTGCCAAACTGCCCACGGGGAGTTGGCTACCTCCTGCTGCTGGCTGCCACACAGCAGGGGCACCCTGACCCTCCCTGCCTTGCCGGCCTGTCCCTGCTCACCAGCCAGGATCTGAGGGCTTTTCCGGGCACCTCCAGCCCAGGGAGGACAACAGAGCAGCCGTGCCCGCAGCACCACCCTAAGCTGGCTGAGAAGGGCCTCGCAGGCACAGGTGGAAGGCGGGGTGCTGCGTGCACTGGGCAGCCTCCCTCTCTCCTGTGTGCTCTGGGGCAGCACGGAGTTCCCCTCCCCAGAGGCTAAGGGTCTGCGCAGCCAGCACGCTCACAGGCTTTGTACACGAGGGTCCCTCACAAAGTGGGTGGAAAAATTAAATCAAAGCGAATGCTGTTTTTCCAGGACATTTTTGAAGCCTCTTTATTTTGTGTGTAATAGGTATGATATATGTGTGTGTGTGGATAGATGTGTGGTGTGTCATGTG